CATTCCTGCATTAGTGCCACAGTTGTTCTGGAAGATAGTCAGACTCATTACATTATTTGGGCTACAAATTTTCAGCCTCATTAAAACCCTAACTGCTTGAATGTTGCCATGAAATGAGGGAAATCTGATGGACAGTGTTCCCGAAAGACAACCCACATGCTGTCAACTGTTTGTTGAAGGTATTTTAATGTCATGGAAAATAATATAAAATTAAAATTCATCAATGATGGAATAAATGATGAGGAAAAAGAAGTATTTTTAAAATTCACTTTGGCCATCCAAGGTCCTTTTCTGTTTCTACAAAAGAAAGAGAAACAACTCTCTGAAGTTCTCACTTATTTCTTCTCTAGATATTTTAGCGAGTTGCTAAATGCCATTACTATAAGTCACACTGCCTTTTTGATAGTTCATTAATAACGCAAAATCAACCTATATCATAAATTAATGTTTGGTAACTGGGACTGTAACTGTCATTATAAAATGCAATCAAAATAAATGCTGTAAAGTAGGAAAATTTAGTTCATAGATATAAATGAGTCATGAGTGATTAACAGCAGCTTCTCAAAGAGCTAGTGTATTCACTTTGGAGCTTGCTTCTGGTAAATGGGCAGAAAAAGACGACTTTGCCCCGTGGTAACTGTAATTCTTCAAAACATCTTGTATACAAGGACCTCACTTTTGCTGCAGATGCCTCCCAGCTGTGTACGCAACAGCCAGGGTTCCACCCATACCGAGGGGCAGAGCAACCCAAACCACGGCACAGCTCCTTCCCTGCCCAGAAACCTGCTGCCTGCGTGCTGGGAGAAACCTATGGGCTGTGTAGAACCCAACCGCACCGAGTAGCTCAGAAAATTACATTTACTCTAAAATAATAAACTTTCTTTAAGTATCTGAACAAAAAGACCTTACTGCTGGAGGCCTTTTCTGGAGGTGAAAGCCAAAGTGATTTAACGAATTAAAGTGCTTTGCCAGACCGAGCATCTGACCTTAAAGCTCCTATCAAGGAATAATGATTGATAATTGTGGGAGTAGAGGTTTTTAATAGTATTCCCGGTATTTCAGTTACTGTTGCTTGAGCCTTTGTAGGTTGAGACATAAAATCAATTGCAGAATCCAAATCAACATCATAGACGGTACTGATAGGGTCTGTGATCCACTCAGAAAGTCTCTCATCTGGAAAATAGAGGATGTTTTATATCCTCTCATGATTTCACAAATCCTTCCAGACACAATTCCTTCTCTTCCCAGAATCCAGATGATAGGACTCCATCGTGTGGGAGAGGTTTGCACTTTCTGGTTCCACATCTAACTCTGGGTTATCGGATACAACAGAGAGCCTTAAGGACCTGTGAAGTTTTTCCTCAATGGAAATACAGTCACGGTCTCTTTATGCCCAAAGGGCGTTTGTTGGTTTCTTCCACAAAGCAAGTGTAATCTGGGAGGAAAAAGAATCAAGAAGTGAATGAAGTAATTAACATAAAAATCAAACACAGCTTTCAAAATTAATTTGGGACAGAGCTTCATTGTAAGCCTGACTGCATGAAAAATAGTACATGGGAGGGGACCTGGCAACATGCTGGGAAGGAGTGCAAATTCTTTGAAGGAATACAGGAACACCCACCACTTTTTTTCAAAATGATGAAGCAACAGACATGGTATGGGCACATATGGTGACAGGTTTTTTTTAAATTCCACTATCTTGGCTTACACTGAGAAATTTGTGAAAGAAACTGTTAAAAAGCAATTGACAGAAAAGTTTGGTTTTGCTTCTTGCTGGCTGTTTAGAATAGACAGTGTTACCCTGACTCCACTGGGATCCTTCTGGGAAGCTGAAACAATACGTGAACCTGATATATCATCCAGAGTATATTTATCTGAGTTCGAGTGTGTGACTATTGACAGGCAGTGGGTCCAACACTTACCCAGATTAGTCCAGGTTAACACCCTCACCTGATGTGTATCACCATGTACACATTTGTCTGAATATTTACAGGTAGGTAATAGATCAGCAATCGGTGATCCCTAAAGAAATCTGTGGTGGAGTCTACCCTGAAAGATTAAATCTGTGACTATTTTGGCAGAGACAGGCATTTCTTCCATGGTCTAAGAAATGTGAGCTGAAGTCTCCTCTATGGTATTAGGAAATGAAGTCATGTACATAAGTAATGA